AGCCCCCTTTTCCAGATGCTCAGCTCTGCTCCTAATCCAGAGGTGCCCTGTCAATCACCCAGGGCGAGACCAATCAGACAGTCACGCTCATTTAAAAGGCTGTCCATGGAGCCACGCCTCCCTAGTGCAGTCTCAGACATGCACATGGCTTCAGATGCCTCACTCCTATTGTAAAAAACAAATCACACTCCACACTATAGTCTAATATTGGAGATCTGAATTCTGCAGGAGATTCCTAGGCTGTGGAGATGCCTTCATTATTATTGGACTTAATAAACTAACATATAAAACAAAAAATATATAGAGAAATACAGAAATCATGCTTATAAAGGCCTGGATTAAAAATAAATAAATCTCAGTCCCAAGGTAGCAGATCATAATATTTCTGAAACATTTCATTATAATGCCTATGCATAATACTGTAAATATTTGGAATTAAATTGATCTACCATCTGTAAGGGATAATAAATAATCAGTATTTAAAGGAAGACAAATTTCTGTTTCTTAGTTGATTATTATTTTATTAAGCAACACATGGCCATTAGTTTGTTTGTTCTTTATTATTGCAAACATATTGGCACCAATTGCAGCTGACATTTCACTAGTAGTATTGCTGTTTTTATTAGTCTGTATAATGTCCATTTCTGTATGTATTTTGTGTTGCAGTTTCCCCCCCCCCCCAACTCTCTCACAACTACATTTGATCAAACACCTCTCTTCTTCACTGTCCAACCTTTAAGACTTGTTTGTTTTATGTTTGTGTTTTCATTTGAAGAAGCTGACCTTTAACAGCACCAGAAAAATATTTATTTTATAGGTTTATGAGTTTTATATTTTCTATGTGCTCTCTGGGCTTACGGAAGACCAATAAGGGGCAAGGAGATTTACCATTGACAACAGAGGTGAATTCTGGAGAAAATGCTAAATATGAAGTCAGCAGTTAAAACTTTGAATTGATTTTAAAGGGACACTATAGTCAACAGAACTACTACAGCTTAAAGGGACATCGTAGGCACCCAGACCACTTCAGCTGCTTGAAGTGGTCTGGGTGCCAACTCCCATCACCTGTAACCCTGCAAGTTTAATTATTGCAGTTTTAATAAACTGCAATAATTACCTGCTAGGGTTAACTCCTCATCTAGTCGCTGTCTACCAGGAGAGCATTGAATAATGCTTTCCTATGGGTAGGTCTAATGCACGCGCGGCCATTGCCACACGCACCTTAGACATTGGCAGGGGAGGAGTGTGGGTGGAGCCTGACCCAGCACCAAGGGATATCGGTGCTAGATTCAGGTAAGTGTCTAAAGGGGTTTTAACCCCCTCAGAGATGTGGGATGGGAGGCGGGAGTGAGGGGGGCACTTCAGGATTTTCTAGCCTTATATTTGACCCAGTAACTTTCAAAAACACTATACAATCTGTACATGGGGGTTACTGTTATACACGGGAGACTTCGCTGAACACAAATATTAGTGTTTCAAAACAGTAAAACGTATCAAAACAATTATATCATCAGTGAAAGTGACTTTCGTGTGGGAAAAATGCAAAAAACATAACTTTCACTGACAATATCATCACTGTGATATGTTTTACTATTTTGAAACACTAATATTTGTATTCCGAGAAGCCTCTCGATTAAAACAGTACCCTCCATGTACAGGTTTTAGGGTGTCGTAGAACGTTACAGGGTTAAATACAGTGCTAGCAAATACAATTCTCTGGACTTTCGGCCTGGGTTGTCAGGTAGGTCCCTCAAATTGCAATCAATAAAATTACTTAATTATGTAAAAAAATTACATAAATATGCACATAGAATTTAAATATATATATACATATGTATATATTTGAAGTCTAATTGTATATTTATGAAGTTATTTATGTAATTATGTGTATGGGTATATTTATATTTGTAATTATTTTTAGAATTATTATATATTTTTTATTAAAAAAAATATATACATATATATACATTTATTATATTATATATATATATATACTTGTGTAATTTTACTCTAAGTGTATTTTTTATTAATATTTGTATATATTAATAAAAAATACACTGAATATGATGTTATATATAAGATATATATACATATTATATATAGATATAATATATGTATATATATCTCATATAGACACATATATTTATATATTTTAAATTTATTAACATCATTTTTTTATTTTAAAACTTTTTAAAATCTTTTTTTCACCAGCAGAGGGACTGTCTGGCAGTTCTATTGTGGTCATGTGACCGCTCTTTCAGAGCGATCACATGGCCTGCGGGGGCCTAATTTGCCGAGGGGGGACTGTCTGGGCTGTCAGACAGTCCCCCCAGAATGAGAGGAACACCAATCGCCGGCGGGGGATTGGCGGCGATCTGGTAAGTAATTATAAATTTAAAAACAGAATATAGGTGGCGCTCAAGAATAGAAAAGGCGGTGCAGCTTATTTACCCGAGTATATTTGTCTAAATATACTTAAAAGTGCAAAGCAGTGTAAAACCAAACAAGGTGATAAGCGCACACATATACAAATTCTTAACTTAGAGTTACATATATTAATCCTATACAGAAACAAAGATAAAACACAACATAGTGTAATCTGTAAAAATAAATTGTGAGTAGGATTTAGAATTCAGAACACTCACAATTTTCTGAGCCCATTAAAGTTGGCTCTGGACTTATGGAGCATAGATGTCTCCTTGTAGACGTAGGATGGATTCCCCTAGTGGTTAGGGTCCAAAAAGGTGCAGAATTGCTGGAAACAGGAATTTCAAAAAGAGGTAGGTACATAAAAACTAGACATGTGCAATTCATTTCGGTCCAAATGTGAATTCGAACGAATTTCAGGCAATTCGGACATCCGGGTACTTCCGATTGTCCGAATAGATAAATTGCCGAATTGCCGAATTACCAAATGGTTGAAGTCCCGAATTTCCAAAATTACTGAATTTCCGAAGTGTCGAATTGCCGAAGTGCCGAAGTTCCGAAGTTGCCGAAGTTTCGAAGTGTCGAAGTGCCGAAGTGCCAAAGCACAGTATTGTCTAAGAACTAATATACTTACCCAGTGGAAGAATGAAGAATGTTATACTGTATACAATTTTAAATAAAAAGTATACAAACATAGCCAGGATTCAGCTGTAAGCATTTGTAACACTTACAACAATCAAGTAACATACATTCATATAAAATGTAAGTTACTTAGCCAGTCAGTGTAATGACAGGAATGAATAAGTAGATAACTCCCTAATTCCCACGGTATTAGGGAGTTATCTCCTAAAAGGCTGAAAGACCTAAATTGGTCTTTTAGCCAAATTTACTAATACTAAGTAAAGATTACTTAGTATTAGTAAATTTTGCCCCTACTCGCTATACTGCGAGTAGGGGCATGTCTATTAAACAGTGAGCAGCTGTGCGAGTGGGGGCTTCTAACCTGAAGTTGGGACCTATAGCCCCCCCGGCCCCCATCCCTGAGCGGCGGGTGGGGGCCCTACAGTAAAATAAGGGGGGGGGGAACCTAATGTCCTTCCCCCTGGCCCCCAACCCTGAGCGATTGGTGGGGGCCCTAAATTAGAATAAGGGGGGGACCTAATGTCCTCCCCCTAGCCCCCACCCCTGAGCAGTGGTTGGGGGCCCTAAATACTAATTAGGGGGGGACCTAATGTCCTCCCCCTTTTCCCCCACCCCTGAGCGGTGGGTGGGGGCCCTACAGTAAATTAAAGGACCACTATAGTGCCAGGAAAACATACTCGTTTTCCTGGCACCATAGTGCCCTGAGGGTGCCCCCACCTTCAGGGTCCCCCTCCCGCCCGGCTCTGGAAAGGGGAAAAGGGGTAAAACTTCTCTGAAACTGCTATGTTTATAAAACAATGGGTTAACCCTAGCTGGACCTGGCATCCAGACCACTTCATTCAGCTGAAGTGGTCTGGGTGCCTAGAGTGGTCCTTTAAGGTAGGAACCTAATGTCCTCCCCCCTGGCCCCCACCCCTGAGCGGTGGGTGGGGGCCCAAATACTAATAAGGGGGGGGACCTAATGTCCTCCCCCTGGCCCCCACCCCTGAGCAGTGGGTGGGAGCCCTAAATTGGAATAAGGGGGGACCTAATGTCCTCCCCCCTGGCCCCCACCCCTGAGTGGTGGGTGGGGGCCCTAAATACTAATAAGGGGGGACCTAATGTCCTCCCCCCGGCCCCCACCCCTGAGCGGCAGGTGGGGGCCCTAAATTGGAATAAGGGGGGGGGACCTAATGTCCTCCCCGCTGGCCCCCACCCCTAAACGGCGGGTGGGGGCCCTAAATACTAATAAGGGGGGGACCTAATTTTTTTTTTTTTTTAACAGTGAGCAGCCACAGGCTGCTCACTGTCTACTTTCCATGCCCCTACTCTCGGTATAGGGAGGAGGGGCAAAATTTACTAATACTAAGTCATTTTTACTTAGTATTAGTACATTTGGCTGAAATTTAGGTCTTACAGCCTTTTTATTAGATAACTCCCTAATACCGTGGGAATTAGGGAGTTATCTACTAAGCGGCTGCAAGAGAAGTCCCAAAGTGCCGAAGTCCCGAAATTCCGAAATGCCAAAATGCCAAAGTTCCGAAATTCCGAAGTTCCAAAGTGTCGAAGTGCCGAAGTGCGGAAGTGCCGAAGTTGCCGATTTTCTGAAGTTTCGAAGTGCCGAAGTGTCGAAGTTCCGAAGTTCCGAAGTCGCCGAAGTTCCCAAGTGTTAAAGTGCAGAATTGCTGAAGTCCCAAATTGGGGAAGTCCCGAATTTCGGAATGCCGAACCGAACCGAAAATTTTCCCCATGCACATGCCTAATAAAAACGATTTATTACTTATAGATAAAAAACATAACATTGGAATAAGTGCACAACGCGTTTCAACCCCACAAATGGGTCTTCCTCTGGTGCTAATGAAAGTCCTATCAGTATAAACATTCTTTATATATACACAAATATTACAAACAATTAATTACACATGTTGTACGAGATACACCTATTTCCAAAT